GGCCACAAGGCCGCGGCTGAGGAAGGGAGGGCTCGCGCCAAGCCAAACTTGTGGCCGGCAGCCGAGTGGGGGAAGGAGAGGTCCTAAAAGCCAGATGAAGGCGTAAGTCACGAACAATGCCACACCAGTTTGGAATTATGATTAATAGGGTGGTATTTATTTAAAGAGGAAAAAAACTTACAGATTACCATCCCAGACAACAGCCCTCTGTGCAACCAGGAAGGGAGTCTAGTCGCTGGTGGAGCAGGAAGTGAAGAGAGCGAGTGGAAGAAGTAGCTGCTTTTTTAAAGGGAGAGAGAGACCACGCCCCAATGGGCTGGTACCTCAGCAGCTATTGGTTGGAGGGGTGGAAGGACCTCCCACAACACTTGTTAAGATCAAAAGTTGAAGTGTCAGAATTAGGGCTGAAGAAAAATCTGTTGCTCAGGTAGAAAATCTCCAAAGAGACTGAGCGTGGTGGCACATGCCTAGAATCGCACACTCAGGAGGTGGAGACAGGAGTACCAGATCCCCTCCGTCCTCGGCTGCATAGCAAGTTCTAGATCAGACTGGGCTACACATAAATATGCCATCTCTAAAAAACAAACCAAAATGTCCCCCAAAGACTATAAGTGTAATGAGTTTGTTCTCTAATGGCTGAAAATGTTGACTAAAAAGCCTAACTGCGTGGGGGGAAAAGGCTACAGAATGGTCTTGGAATGTGGCTCAGTGATAGAGAATTTGTATAGCATGTGGAAAGCGCTAGGGTTGACCCAGAAATCACAATAAAAAAATAGAACTGCCAGGGAAAATATCTTTTAAGTCAGTAAATCACATAAAATTTAACAATAAATACATTGACTAATGAACTTTTTAAAAAATTCAAGGTAGATACAACAAACAAAAAACTGGAGGCAACAAGATTTAGATGTGAACTGGAAAGAGAGGAATAAGATTCAAGATGAAATAGGTAGTCAGATAATGAAATCTTCAAATCAAATACTACATGGTGAGGTTTTTTTTTTTTTTTTTTTTTTTTTTTTTTTTTTTTTTTTTTTTTTTTTTTTTTTTTTTTTTTTTTTTTTTTTTTTTTTTTTTTTTTTTTTTTTTTTTTTGGACAGGGTTTCTCTGTGTAGCCCTGAACTCACAGAGATCTGCCTGCTTCTGCGTCCTCAGTGCTGTGATTACCCGCTGCGGCCACCACCACTCAGCTCTACACAGCATCCATAAAGGGAGCTTAGGCAGTGCTGTGCACCTGAGCTTGGGAATCTGAGAGCAGCCTTGGCAACACAGCAAGACTTCCATTTCTTTTCTTTTTCTCTTTTCTCTTTTTCTTTCTATCTTTTTATTTTATCTTTTTCCGAGAGCATTTCTTTGTAGCTTTGTAGCCTGTCCTCTTGTAGACAAGACTGGCATCAAACTCACAGAGATCCACCTTCCTCTGCCTCCTGAATGCTAGGATTAAAGGCGTGCACCACCCGGCAAGACCTCCAATTCTTCAAAGAAAAAAAGATCATGAATTAATATGTAAAATATGTGCTACAAAGGAAGACATTTATCAGAAATTATACTTTATTTTATCAATGAAAACAAATTTCAAGAAGAGATGGTTCAGATGTTAACAGCTAGGCTAGCAACCAAAAATAAAAGTTTGGTTCCTAGCACCCACAGCTGTCTCCACCCCATCCCACTCCCCCGAAAGAAAGAAAACTAGACTAGGAAAACAGATCAGTGTATCTAGAGAAAATGAAAATGGAGCATGATGTTTGAGAAAGATGAGTGTGAGGGAAATTCTGGGCTTTCCAGATAGCATAAGAGTTAGCTGAAAAGGAACTTCAGCATGTTGGTTAAACAGCATCAAGTTACAAACATTGAAATGCAGAAAATGGGAAATGCATTGAAAATGGAAAACAATGAAAATTCTGACCCAAAACTTCAAATAGGTAGTTTGTGGATTTAGGTGACCTAATTTTTTTAGACAGAGATGAATTGCTGAACTCAAACCAGATATTGAAGAAAATGGCAGAGGAAGATGAAACAGTGATCTAAAATTTAAGAGGCCAAACTGAAAAAGTGTAACTAGAAGTTGGAAAGATATCAAAAGAGAACCAGAGTAGCTGGATGGAAAGCATGGGCTGAATGAATGCATCAGAGAGGAAGCATGTAGCCGAGCTGAAGACAAACTGCGGTGAGTTGGGAAAATCTTTTCGTGAGTACAAACTGAAGAGTTTGCAGGAGAAAGTGGATGCCTCAGAGGCCATAGAGAAGAATTAGAGGGGCTGGAGAGGTGGCTCAGCGGTTAAGAGGCTTGCTGCTTCTCAGAGGCCCCACATAAGGAAACTCAAACCACCATAACTCCTGCTTCCAGATCTGACACCCTCTTCTGGCCTCCCAGAATACCTGTATCCATGTGCACATACACACATACATATACACAAAAAAACAAATCTTAAAAGAATTGGAGCCAGGTGTGGTGGCCTGGAGGCAGGGGTAGGCAGATCTCTGTGAGTTCAAGGTCAACCTAGTTTACAGTATTTAGACTGTGAGGTCTATATAGTAAGACCCTGTTTTGAAAAAAAAATTTCATTTAAGACTATATAAAGCTAGCCTGTGACACCTCCTAGACCTTCTTTCCCTATGAGAACTCTCAGTGGAAAACAGAAAGAGATATGTCTTTGAAAGACATCCAAAGGAAAAGAGTAGGTGAACATGCTAAAAAATCAAAATACTAGGCAAGTTGATAATGCAACCCTGTAATCCTAGTATTTGAGAGGCTAAGGAATGAGGATGGAGAACTGGAAGCCAGCCTATGATACATAGTTAGACACTGTTGCAGAAATAATGCCAGATACTTTGGAGAAGGGGGCTTTCTCAGTTCCTTCTGCATGTTCTTTAAAAGGAAAACTCAGACACAAATGGCAAGAATTTCTTTGGTCATGGGGGCTGGTACTGACATTAAAGCTTTTCTACTTCTAGATCCAATATATCAGAACAGAGGCAAAAACCTAATGAGAATCCTTTCACAGTTCCTTCACCCATTGAAGAACTTTTACAAATGGCTTGGTCAGTAGAACAGCTATGTAAAACATAAAGTTGTATTGTCAAGTGATGAGATGTATGAAAGAATATGTATATTGGTGTTTTGAGATGTTCATGTGTGGCAGGCTGACCTCAGAGTCAATAGATAGGCATAACTGAACTTCCTGCCTTTACCTCCTGAGTGTAGGATTATAAGAGTACACCACCATATCTGGCTTATGTAGTTCTGGGAATTGAACCAAGAGTTTTATACAGGCTAGGTAAATACCAACTGAAATACACTCCAGGCCAAGAATGTACAAATATAGCACAATTACTATATAGACACATGTTTATATAAACTAACCATATAAGACATTGAAGGGGTGAAGGTTATGATTAAGTCTTGACATTTTAAACACCATAACCAGTAAAAAGAAAAATGAAGACTTTACATAGTTCCTGAAAAACACAACAAATATGAAGGAAAATTAATGTTTGTAAAAGCAACAACAGAAAAAAATACGCAAAGATTCAAAAAAGACTTAGGATATATAGAGAATTTTAAATTCTGGTTCAATACATGCTATTCTAAGATAAATCCTGTTGATTTTTAGTCACGAGACATGGAAATTGCATCAAGAGGAGATCTTCTTGACAAAAGATTAGAAGAGTCAGAGACAAACACAATGCTAGAGAAATCAGATGTCCTGAGGAATGATGTTTTTGAGGAGTGGCAGGTAAAAACAGGTGACATGATAGTACAGCTTGAAGCTTTAACATGTGACACTGAGATGTTTTCACTTAGATGTTACAAGACATCTAAGTATGTTTCAGGAAGGGTTCTGGCTACATATTTTGTATTTTGTCAGGGTTTTAGGAGTTTACTAATAATAAGTTTAGGAGCATTGGAAGAAAGAGAGTGGCTCCTCGTAGGTCAACCATGCTTCTATGGTCACCCAAGATCATTTGATGCAATGGGCTTTGAAAGAGAGAGAGAGAACAAGAAGTTGCGTGGATAGGAAGGTGGGGGTGGATCTGTGAAGAGGGGATAAATAGGAGTAAAATACATTGTAATAAAATTCTCAATTTATGCCTGGTGGTGGCAATGTACACTTTTAATCCCAGGACTTGGTAGGCAGAGGAAGCCTGGTCTACAGAGCAAGTTCCAGGACAGCCAGGGCTACACAGAGAAACACTCAAAAAAACAAAACAAGCAAACAAATAAAATTCTCAATTAATAAAAGTAGTATTTAAAAACCCAAGGAAAAACAGCATAAGCTGTTTAAAATTGTTTGATTTGAGACCTGTTTTCTCTATAGCACTGGCTGTTCTGAAACTCATTCTGTAGCCTAGACTGGTCTCAAACTCAAGGACCTGCCTGCCTCTGCCTCCCTAATTCTTGGAATAAAGGTATGTGCCACCATGCCCAGTGTAGAATTTTTTTTTTTTTTTTTTTGTTGGTTTTCGAGACAGGGTTTCTCTGTAGTTTTTGGTTCCTGTCCTGGGGAACTAGCTCTTGTAGACCAGGCTGGCCTCAAACTCACAGATCCGCCTGCCTCTGCCTCCCGAGTGCTGGGATTAAAGGCGTGCGCCACCACCACCCTGCTCAGTTTAGAATATTTTAAAGTATTTTTTACATTACATTTATATTGTGTGTGTGGGGGGGTACAAATGCACCACAGCACATGTGTAAAGGTCCAAGGATAACTCAGAGACACGTCTCCTTTTGCCATGGGTTGTGGCAGTTTAGCTCAGGTTCCAAGGCTCAATGGCAAGTGACTTTACACACTGAACCTTCTCACTGCCCCAGAATATTTACTGACCTTCCTTTGAGGCTATAAAAATTAAGTCATGAGGCATGGGATGACTCTTTTTTCAATGTGTGGGAGAAACTGCATCAAGAGGAAATCTTGACAGAAGAGTAGAGGAGTGGAGAAAAGATTTCGTGAATGACTGACTTGCATGGGAGGGACTAACTAACCATGTGATTGTAATTTTAGGTGCCTGTGGCATTTGATGATGTCTCCATCTACTTTTCCACTCCGGAATGGGAGAAATTAGAAGAATGGCAGAAAGAACTTTACAAGAATATCATGAAAGGCAACTACGAGTCCCTCATCTCCATGGGTGAGGCTGAGTGTGCACCTTTCGAATGAGGCGCCAGCCATCCTAAGAGGGCTTAGACAGTTCCTTTTTCTCTAGTGTCCTCATCTCAGTGTCCACCCATCCTCATATATTTCAGAATGTGGTTTTAAGTCAAAGAAGGATAGAACTAACTTACTATGTGCATTTTCTTATACGTTATATTTTCTTTTACCTCCTTTCTTGAGTAACTTGTAAATAATTGGAGGTTGATAGATGAGGAGAAGTGATAAAGGATCTAAAGGAAATTAATTTCCTGTGCACCTCAAACATTCAGCTGCAGTGGTGGTTATCATACTGATTTATCTCTCTGTCATGCCGCCTTTCCATTTTTCCTTTTCTAGATTATGCCATGAATCAACCTGATGTCTTATCTCAGATTCAACCAGAAGAACACAGTACAGATGACCAACCAAGGCCAGAGGCAAGTGAGATTCCAGCAGATGCCAGTGAAGGTAAGAGAAAAGATTATATACTCTTAAGCTCCTTTTCCTGGGTAGAGAGGGGGGTTTTAGAGGTGTCCAAAGCCATTCAGTGCTAAAACATTTTACACTTTGAATGGACATTTAAATACTAGAAGGAGCTCAATGATAACCTGTCCTCCACCTATCAGTATGTCATACATGCCATATTGTTGGCAGTTGAGGCTTAGTAGGATGCTCTTGTAATTTAGGGGAAGTGTTGTGTATAAAGAACAGTTTTCCAGATCTCTATACTGGCAAACAGTTCCTTCTCAAGATGAGCAGTCTTGGCCTGTGCTGAATTTCTCTTCTGACACAGGGAATGAGCCCTGGCTCCTTTCAGTGGAGAAGACCACTAACCATTTGTTTTAGTTTCCTCTGTGTTACTATGATAAGTGTCCTGACAAAACCCAGTTTAGGGGAAAAAGCATTTATTTTAGCATACAGTTTCAGGCGACAGTCCATCATGGTGAGGAAACTGGAGTGTGGAGCTTAAAGTAACCAGTCACATCATATCCATAGTAAAGAGCAGAAAGAAATGAATGCTGCATGCAGGCTTGCATGCTTGCTTTCTTGTGCTCAGCTTGATTTATTCATTTTACAGAGTTCAGTATAACCACAGGCTAACTCAATATAGATGGTCCCTTATTAAGACTCTTTTCCTAGATTGTTTCAAACTGTCAATTAAAGCTAATCATTACACCCAGTAATTTTAAATATGAATCCAAAATATGAGAATTAAATCATAAGCTGGGCAGTGGTGGCGCACACCTTTAATCGCAACACTCAGAGATGCAGAGGCAGCCAGATGTCTCTGAGTTCGAGGCTAGTCTGATCTACAGAGTAAGTTCCAGGACAGCCAGAGATACACAGAGAAACTGTCTTGAAAACCCATAAATAAATAAAAATAAATAAATAAAATGGAATCATGATGATTTTTCTTAATGGTGTGTTCTTTGTAGCCTTGTCTGCTGAAAAGATATAAACAATTGATAACTGATTAGCAATAAGCTGCCTTCCAAAGGGCTGATAGACATGCACAATTATATTGATCCTTATATTGCTTATTGAATGACACAGGCCACTGCTTGGGAGAGATGTAAAATTCTTTGGGACCTAAGAATTATTTTTGAAAGAACTCTTCCCCCCAGAAAGGGCTTTGTCATTCATTCTCTCTCTCTCTCTCTCTCTCTCTCTCTCTCTCTCTCTCTCTCTCTCTCTCTCTGTCTCTC